CACAAGAGATTGACTGGCATGTCAAAGGCAGGATCTTGATCTTCTCACCTCCATTTGCAAGACCTGAAGAACACGAAGATGTCGTAGAAGAAGAGCCCTCAGGAGGCGATGACGATGAAGAAGGAAATGGTGGTCAAGAACCGCCTGGTGATGATGACGAAAATGGAGACGGGCCGAGCGGAGGACCTTCGAAACGCACGAAGACAGAGATCACAGAGATGGCAAAACCAGTGGAGACGGCAGAAGAGACTCCCAAGGAGGAGAAGATGGACGATGCACTTGATGCTGAACCTGTTGAACCGTTCCATGGCTGCACCGCTATCGATCCGTCGAACGCACCCAAAGAGGAATTGTCAGACGATGACGTAGTCACCATGAGTACACAAAGCACTCCGGATCGTCCGACCAGTTCGCGTGAGGTGCTCGACCGAGACAAGTTCATCATGAGCCGCTTCCAAGGGGAGATCGAGCTGAGCTCCGACAGCGATGGTCACGCATTCGTAGCTCTGGATCACCGGACTATGAACAAAGGAGAAAAACAAGTGTTTGTCGCCGGCCTGCAGACTTTGCAAGAGAATGACTCAGTCTTGCATGCACTAGTTTCGAACAACCCGTTGAGTGTGCAACACATGGTCATTGTCAAGGATGACATGTTGATCAATGCACCCCAGAGTGCAAAGATATTCGATGTAGGTGCAAACTGGGTGAAGACCCGCAAGGAGGTCATCAAGCACATTTCAAATAAGATCCCTGGTTTGGTTGTACTGTTTTTGGAGAACACGGACCCCAGGAGGATTTGGAATGATATGCTCATGGAAGTCGACATGTATGGTTGCAACCTTCTTCTTTTCACACCACTTCTCGAGATATCTGTCGAACATTCCATTTGTCTTGGTGGCGACCTAGAGTTTGCCTTGGCAGGTCCACAAAGCCCCAAGCTCTTGGAGGCGCTGGAAGGTTGGTGCGGAGAGAACATGATTCCAAAATGTTTCGAAGACGCGAAATCGGCAAGACTCCTAGAGATGTTGAACACCATGTCAGAAGAAACTTATTTGGAGCATTTTGCACGGACATGTTTTGTCGCAGACGAACTCGAAGACATCTCTGAAATTGAGGACAGTGACATTGAGGGAGTTCTTCAGGAAACCAAACATGATGATGGAAAACCGTTGACGGCAAGAGAACAGGAAGAACTCATGCTAGATCAACTTGCATTGCCCGGAGCCGACATGACGGAACAGAAACGGAGACGACTGTGGCGTGCTCTCCCCCAGAGGACTCGCATTGCAATTCGTCGCTTGCATCGGCAGTTCGGACATCCCGCACCGTCAACTTTGAAGAATATCTTAAAGGCAGGTAAGGCAAGCAAGGAGTTGATCGAAGCTGCACGTCTCGTCCGTTGTCAGTCCTGCGAAGACACTGCACCACGTCCCCGTGATCATCCGGTAGGAAATAGTAATTTCCAGTATGAGTTCAATGCCATGCTTGGTCTTGATGTCACAGAAATGAAGGACTATGCAGGAAGCAAGTACAGCATTCTCACGATGCTAGACATTTCGACAGGATTCCATTTGTCAGAGGTTGTCAAAGAAGGTGGAGGTATGCCAACGTCAGAAGCCTGTGCACAAGCTATCCTTCGCAGATGGATCAGTTGGGCAGGTTTTCCGAAGGCCGCAATCATGGATAGAGGTGTCCACAACCAAGGTGAGGTATCCAAGCTGTTCGCTTCGCACGGTGTTGAGATCTTCTATGCACCATTGGAAACCCCTTCAGCCATTGGCAAGGTTGAAAGGCACCAAGGTATCTTGAAGGCAATTCTCAGGAAGACCATCCATGACATGGAAGCCGTTGGTCGCAATGCGTTTGAAACATGTTTGCACGAGTGCACTTCCGTGAAGAATCACATGCAAAGAGTCCAAGGCTATTCTCCAGCACAATGGGTCCTGGGAAGGAACCCAAGAATTCCAGGATCTGTGACAGATATGGATGAGGCAGGAAACTTGGGCATCTTGGAGAACAAGCTTGACCCTGCAGCAAGCTATCATTTGTGTCACGCATCCCGTATGGCTGCACAAAAGGCATTTATTCATCTGGATACAAGTTCCCGTGTTGCAAGAGCATTGACCAGGAATGCAGCAGTCCAGAACAAGAAGTCATTTGTGGTTGGAGACCTTGTGGTCTATCGTCGAGACACACAGCAAGGTGGAACCGTGTGGTCCACTGCTTCGCGTGTGATTGGCATCGACCCGCACAATGGCATCTGGTTGCTACATGAAGGTATTCCTATTTTGTGTGCCGCTGGAAAACTTAGATCAGCCAATGAGAGTGAATCGTTGGCCTACTCTGTTTTGAACAACATCCCAGTATTCCCAGAGGCAGTGACATTGGGACAGCAGAAGTACATCCGAATGATGGACGAAGAAGCAAGCCCTAAGAAGGGACAGAAGAGAGAAGCACAAGCAGAAGATAAGACGGGCAAGGCTGCCCGATCATCTGCAAGCGCGAGTGGAAGCGCAGTCGCAGTTCCGATGACCCCCGGAGGCATTGGTGGTGATGATGAGGTCATGCTCGCAATGATTGACAATGAAGATCATTGGAGAATCTCTGAGAATCATGCAATTCGTGTTCACAACAAGAGGAGATTCCATGACTTTCATCCGCTGCATGACGGAGATGTTCCGGAAGGATTCGGAGGAAGACGCGTAACCAGAAAAGTCTATGAAGACGGAAGTCGAATGACCAGCGAGTCCATGCCGGGCATGGATGATGTTGATTCTCGCGCATGGACAGGTTTCACAATCTTTACACGGGTAAAACACCCGTTGATCGCCATGGCCGCTGCTGACGACACTGAACTCGATGCTGCAGAGTTTCGAGCCTTTGTGGTTCAACGCTTTGGAGAAAACAGTGAGACGCAGGTTGGCAAGGTGGCAAAGACGCTGCAATACGACCGATGCACTCCCGAGATGCAAGCCCGCATCTTGGATGCACGTCGTGCAGAGTGGAGCAAATATAGGAGCTTCAATGCTGCAATGCCTATTCGAGGCAAGGAATTGGAAGAGTTACTTCAAGAAGGGCATGTTCCTATTCCTATGCAATGGGTAGATGTGGATAAGCAAGCTCATCTGACAGGTACGCCTGAACATCGGCCAGAAAACAGATCTCGGTTAGTAGCTTGTGGAAATCACGAACAAGTGAGCCGTGATTCACAGGGTATTCGTTGCGATAGCCCCCACTGCTGAGACTGAAGGACACATGTTGATTGCAAGCTTCGCATCAAGCCATCGTGTGACCCTATATGCGGCAGATGTTTCCTCAGCGTATTTTCAAAGTCAACCTATGACGAGGTTGCTGTTGCTCAAACAGCCACGTGGAGGAATTCCAAGCCCGGATGTTCCACCGGATGCAATGTTAGTTGCACGCCTTCCGATCTATGGCACGATCGACGCTGGCAGAGGTTTTTACTTGAGGATGAATGGTGAGATCACCAGTGCCGGGTTGAAGTGCAGTCGCATTACACCTGCATTGTACTATTTGCACAATTCCAAGGGAAGGTTGATAGGCATGGTCGCGACACATGTCGACGACTTGTTGTATTGCTACCTTGACGAAGGCAAGGAGACGGTTGAAGGTATACTCAAAAGGTTCACGATTGGCAAAACAGAATCGGGAAAGTTCCGATACTGCGGACGTCAGTTCGTACAGCATGAGGACTACTCCGTGAGCATTTCTACAAGTGAAAACTGCAGAACAGTGAAGCCGATCGAAATCGACAAGCACCGGAAGCTGTCGGAAAAGGTGACAGAGAAGGAGTTGACAAGCCTCAGGAGCGTTGTTGGTAGTTTGGCTTGGGTTGCCCGTTATGGAAGACCAGACCTTTGTTACCGTGTGAATGAGATGCAGCGTGCATGTAGCGCAAAGGCAACAGTGCAAGACTTGAAGAATGCCAACAAGGTTGTTGAATTGGCACTTCAAGGAAGTGACTTGCAGATCACCTTCAAGAGTGATTGGATTGACTGGAGCGATCTAGCAGTTGTGACATTTAGCGACGCAAGTTTCGCAAACGAAGAAGGCTTTAAGAGTCAGCAAGGCCGCATTCACTACATAACGAATGCGAGCAGCCTCAAGGAAGGCAGTCACAGAATGCATCTGATCAGCTTTGGTTCAACTACCCTCAAAAGGGTGTGTCGTGCTACATTGCAAGCAGAAGCATATGCTCTGCAAACTGCAGTCGAACATGGAGATCGCCTACGATGCCTGATTTGTGAGTTGACCGGACGACTTAATGACTTTAAGAACTGGCATGAAGAAACCCAGAGGCGAATGGCACACGTGTACTACACGGATTGCAGGAGCTTATCGGACCATTTACTGGCAGAAGTTCCAAGAAAGGTACAAGACAAGAGGCTTGGCATAGAACTTGCCGCATTGAGGCAAGGGGTATGGACTGTGAGTGGCGAGAGAACATCAGAGATCTACAGTCCCTATGGTGACCACCTGAGGTGGATTGAGACATCGAAGCAATTGGCAGACCCGCTAACCAAGAGCATGAAGCCGGACTACCTCCTCAAGACACTGGAAAGTGGCCTTGTGAATGTCGAGAACAGTGGCGCATGCGAGAAGGGAGCCAAGAAGAAAGATGAAGAAGTCTCACCTGACTTGTTTTGAGAATTCGACATGGAATGGCATGGTTTACGGCCCCACGAGGAATAGAGTTGCTTGGCTGCCTTTGTACAACTTGAAACTGTAAAGCCCGCAACACACCTGTAGATAAGACGGGTGTGAATTTCAGCTGTTGTAGCCAGGGTGTATTGCGTACAGTTGATGCACCGTCGCTGCTGTTTCGGCTGAACAGGGCCCTTGAGCTGATTCGCTGCTGCGAAAAGGAACTGTGCGAGACTCAAACTTGTGTCTCCTGTCCGTAGGCCCATTTGTTAGGAAAACGCTCAACTGACGACGCTCAACTGACCGCATATGCGTTTGGTCGTCTAAAGTCTAAGGAAGAGCTCGCATTCCGGCCATATTTTATGTGTCACTGTGGCTGCATCTCTGTGATCCAGAGAAGTGAGTTCGCGGAAGTGGAAAAACCAACGGCGGAACCTGAACTCTAATTTGTAAAGAGGATGTTCCGCAGGCTGAACCTTCGTGTTTTTGAGGTTCGACCGTGGGGCAAGTATCCAATGCTGTTGGTTGATGAATAGCTTTCGATCAGATATGGACATGTGCAACGATCCAGGTTTGGGGGTTGTGAATCTGCAGGTTAATCAACAGACAATATCTACACCATTGCATGTGTGTGCGCGCCTCTTATTGCACAGTTACATGCTTTGTGGATCTTAAGTCTGTTACTTGTTCCTCCCTTGTGATGAGCAACTTCATGAAGAGCTGTTTTGGGTCCTGCTCTATTGAGTTTCTTGGTGTAACATGACATAACATAACACAACACAATACACATGTTTGCGAAAAGGCCGTGCGCCAACCACCGCAGACACGGGGCGGCCATTCTTGCCATCCCTTGCCCCCCTGTTCGCTTCTTGCAACTCGAGTAGTTGCAGCACATGCCAGGGCACCTCCTACTTTTGTAGGAGGCCAAGGGCTTTGTTTGTCCCAAAAGCATCTACAGCCTCTCCCCGCCCCTGGGCCAACCAATCTGAAAAGGTCTCAACAAATGGAATCATGGAATTGATCCAACAGGAGGGTTCCATCTTAGGGGAAAGCGATGCATATTCAACTGTCTAGCATCCTGGCGCTTTGAGAAGCTCCAGATCCACCGACGCTCCGCCCAGGTGGTGAACACACACATCTTGTGCGATCCCGCCGCGGCAGATGTCAAGCTCTTCCAAGCGCATTTGCTTTTGAAGGCAGATCGATGTTTTGGGGGATGGGGTGGGGACATGCCGATGAGGACGGGGATACACGAATGGACGGTGCTGGCCACTTTGTGGGTTCCAAGATGGTCCAAGAGTGTGAAGTAAATCCATCCAGTTTTCTCCGCGCTGGCGGTTGTCGGAACGCCCTACTGAGAATTTGATATGTGTGATTGTTGTGAATACTGAGCTCGCCCAGCTACTTGAGAACTCGAGCTTTCTCCTCTCGTTTGGATGTTGGCAGTCTCAAATCGTCCAAATGTCTTCCCCAACACCCAAAGATTATGGTTTTAAACTGTTTTAAAGGTTGCTGCTCATATGTTGCTCATGAGCCAGGCACTCCATGTACGAACCGTCGTCGGGGTGTCCATGAACCACCCAAACTCCAGTCCTAGGTCCTAGATCATCTACTGAATCTCCCGACATGGACATGGACTCTCTCCCTCCTCTCTCCCTGACTCCAGAGGCCATCCACGGGACCACCGCGGGTCGTGTACCGATTTTGGTTTGCGGCACCTGGGCACGGCACGGAACGTGACGAGCCGCTTACTTCGGGCCACCGTGGTGTGGAAGTCAGGTCACCGTGGTGTGGCCATGGTTTCTTCTCCGATCTTTGAGGGCGAGTATTAATTGCTGTGGTTCTTTTTGTGGTGTGTGGAATGGTCTTGTATTTTGTGTGCTGTGTGTGTGTTTGTTTGGTGTGTGTTTTTGTTCTCCCACGGTGAGCACAGGAAGGCTGGGTACAGATGATAGCCGTCTCAGCAAATGGAGGTTCAAGTGTGCCAAAAGTAGAACCCCAGAATGTTTCTTTGCTGGAATGGCATGATGCTGAAGAACACAGCAGGCCATGCTGTGTTTTAGAGTTTGTTGAATTGTCTCTTTGCCATGACCCGGAGCCCCGGATCACGCGGCTCGGGACAAGCATGGCCGAGAGTGCGTGGCTGTGTGCCGCAATGGCATCATGAGTTTCATGTCTAAGCGGTGGTTGATGGGCCAACGAAAGAGCCTCCAAAAAGAGATCAACTGCTGATTCCCAGTGGCACAGCACAAGAGATTCCTCGTCACTTGAGGCATCTCGAGCCAATGAAGGTTGATCGAACACCCAGCTGTTCGAATTGGCCAGTGACTTCTTGGGGGATTGATGGTTGCCGAGAAAAAGCGTCTCCAGCCTTTGGGAAGAACACACGTAACTGGTGCCTTTGACAAAGCCAACAGCGGAACAAAGACCAAACCATCCAGCTAGCCGCCCAACCAGCACAATAAAACCGAGTCAACCAACTCACCAACCTTGTTCTTCCCAAAAAACAAGGTTGGTGAGTTGGTTGTCTTGTAACTCGTTGACACGTCCTTGTCTCACCAACATGGGTTGTCCTTGTCTCCACCTGGCCCTGGCCTCAACTTGTTGAAAAAGCCGGGGGAGAAACACCTGGCCCAGACCTCGTCTCCCGTCTTCGCCTTCGCGATCGCGCGAGATCCGATCTGAGGCGATTTCAATTCCACGCCCGACTCCGCGGTCTACGAATACTTCCGCCGGGGCACGGTCCCTCCGCCGCGTTTGACGTTGGTGATCGGAAAACGACGGAGCAAGACGAGCTAGGGACCTGGAATCAAGTGGGGGGCTGGCTGGGTCGGATTTGGAGCTCTCACCATATTGGAAAGCACCTCAGGAGACCTCAGGCTGGTAAGATTGAGGTCTCACCACCTCAGGATACCTTAATTAGGACAGGTCCCACAATCAGTTTCCCGTTGTTCTTTTTTTCAAAATGTTTCACAAGTCTTTCTGACTTTCCGGTCTAAAGGATGGTGTTGGCGAGATTTAGCTCGGCTTCGCTGTGAGCTGGGGGGGCCATGGTGTGGATGAGCGAGGATCAGCTTCCTGGAACGGTTTGCCCGGCCTGGGGCTTGCGCATAACTAGACATGTCACATAGAGTACAGATGAGTACTACAGTAACATACAGTAACTATATATAGAGGATAAAGTAAACTATCAGAGGATCACTATATTGTTGAACACGGCTTGCAACCTAACCATCATCATCCACTGGGCCCAGGTAATAGATGGTAATAGGATAGACCCCAAAGATCCTGAATCGGCCCTGGGATTTTGATGCCTGGACTGGCTTTTGGGAGCCTATCAATCCAGGGTTGGGGGCTCGAAGGCCCCCCCCGGTGCATCCACGAAAACAGCCATGCTCAAGCTGTTTTGCCCCAGTGCCAAATGGGTTCAGCCATGCCTCGGCTGCCTCGGCTGACCGCCGCTGGACCGACGTTGGACCGACGTGCCCAGTCAGGTGAGACAAGAACATGAAGATCTGAAGAAGGATCCTTGCGGCCTGATGAGGCGCGGGGGACTCGACCTGGAAGGCCCAGGGCCCAGGGCCAGTGTGGGGGAAGCTCGACCCGCACGAATTGTAAAGCCATGTTAATGGACATTTTGGGGGCATGGCATTGTTGGGTGTATCAGGCAAGAAGTATATATCGAACCTGAATTTTAAATCTAATTATGTGTGAGGGAGGGCCGAAAACTCTTGGGTTATGCCCTTAAATTAATGAATATCATACACAAGTGGCCCTATCCACCTGGAAGGCAATGGCATTCATTTTCAGGTGTTTCTGGCGGGTGATGCTGAAATGTTCAGTCTGTCAATGATTGTGTGCCCAGATCCATGTTCCGGAGCCCAGTGCCGCTACGGACATGACCATTTCAATGTCATCGTTACGTCCTGTTTCTTCGAGATTCAGCATCTGTCCATTTCTGGCTGGGCGCCAAATTGGTGAGTCACCATTTTTTGCTGGGTCCAAACCTAAAACATTCCAAAACTGTTTGGACCTGGCCATTGGGGTTCCAAAACGAGCCAACGGCCGCCTGCCAAACCTTGGCTCCCATCCTTCGCCCCAACGGCCGCTTGCCCATCCTTCGCCTTCGCGGCGCTAGGCTGCTCAACCTGCGGAGCGGCGCTTGTATGGCCACGGCCTATGAGACCTGCACGGGCAAAGAGGCCGGTGGGTGAGAGGCCTTAGAGGTGGTCTTGTTCGGTACTGGATGGAGCGATCAGGAAAAAGGGGATGTACCGTTCAACGAAGACATGGCACACTTCAGGGCAGGACGCATCAGAGGTTTGCCACAGACAGTTAGCTTGGAATGTTGGTTTGGGCTGGTTTGGCGCTTGGAATTGGTCAGCTCAAGAAGTCACGGCGTCCCTTGGCCTGCCGATCAACAGGGGCTCATCAATCACTAATTGTAGACATGTTGGTATACCAGCACCCGACTCTACAGGTCTCCTTTGGATGCTTTTGGAGACAAAGTCACAGGTAGTGACCTGTTGGAGGGTCCTGGTATGTGGATTCATCCGCAAAGCTCCCATCATGAAGGATTAATCACCAGGACGACAAGAGCTTTGAGAGTCTCCACATGGGAGTTACATCTCAAAAGGGGGTTACGGCGGTCTACCTGGCGGCTGCTGTCTACCTGATCCGTCACCGCAGGCTGCTGATTATATATATATATATATGCGTATATATATAGAGAGAGAGAGACTCTGGACTCTTTGATGAATAGAACCAACCCATATGAGGTGTTTCAATCCATGTTTGCCAGGGCTTGATTAATCAAGAGTCTACATTACAGTAAGTGGGTTTGATGCGATGATGGAATGCAGCCAGATGTTGGAGCAATTGTTTGTTCGTGAAGCCAGTTAAAAGCCAATCAAAAACCAAAGGTCCAACGTGCAGATCTGAGTTCTTTCCTGTAATTGAAGGGCCGGGCATTTGAGACACCTTGGGTTTGTCTCGCCGGCCAAGTCCAGCGTTGACACTCAGAGGCGACCTTCACCAACTACACGGAAGACTTCAAAGGGACCTTGGATTACATTTGGCTACTTGGCCAGGAAGTTGCATTTTTTCCATCAACACCTGACTGATTTCAGAGAGGCCGGCAGACTGTTTGACTTATGTCATGGGATCGTGGCCAGCAAAGTGGATGACTTCGTCACCATAGGCTGATCTGGGCAACCCACATCATGAATCATCCGGAAGCTTGAGTTTCGAGGATAGAGGCCGGCCGGATGCAGGCCCCACGTACCTCTTGGAGAACACAAGAGAGAAAGAAAGGAGAGAGAGAAAGAAAGGAGAGAGAGAGAGGTCAAAGAAATTACACTAGGCAATGAAGAGTTTTTCCGTCAAACGAGCTGTTCTCCTCCAAAATGGTCCAGTTCCCAAAGGAAAACCACTCCTCCGGTCATTCCTCCGGTCCGGTAAAGCATCTCTCCTCTCCTCTCCTTCACTCGCCTCCTCTCTCCGGTCCGCCTCAGGTTCTCGCCGGAGAATCTCTCGGTCCTGGCGATCTCCCAAGTGGACGACGAGTCGCAGCTCTCTCAGGCACCGGGGACCGGACCCAGCCGGCGAGCCGGCGAGCCGCTCCGCTCCGCGAGACGGGACCGAGTGTCGCGCTCGCGCTTGGCCCGCAGGGCGTAGCTGCCGCAGCAGTCTGTCGGGTCTGGAGTGCACTGGTGGTTTCAAGATGTGTTCAAGGAGAAAGAGCAACCAATGGGGGTCTTGTTGGAGAGAGATGTAACCTGGAGTAGGGGGTGTTCATGCTACACTTGACCTACACTTTTCTCACCTTGCTCCGAAAAAGAAGGCAATGTGTATCGACCTCCATAGGCCACCAGGAGAGAAGCCGACTCCTGTGCACACCATCTCCCTTGGAAGCCGAAGCCGAACTCAGCGAACTAAGCGAACCGTGTCCAGCTCCAACCGGACCGAGTTTTGCAGGGTGTTTCCTGGACCCGAACCTGCCAGTCTTTAAGCCCCCCGAAGTCTTGGATGGATCATTCTGCTGGGTCCCAAGCATGTCCCGTCTTCAAGGACGTTCTTTTTTTGTATAGTTCAAAGGGCATTTCTGAGGCTGCTTTTGTAGGCTAGAAGAACCCAAGGTAGATAAAACGATATGTTTTGACGGCATCTCTTTTGGCGCCCATGGAAAAGGCTGCTTCAGAACCATACCCGAACTACCCGTACTCTGCCGAATGCGATCGGCACTTGCATGGATGTGTTCTATTAATTGTTTAGGGAGGGGACAAGACCCATATGTTTAGCCTATTTTTTCTTGCAGCATGTGTCTGGAAGAGGTTGATCTTGCAAAACGTTTATGTTGCTTTTGTTTGCCAAACCATGTTTCAGTATGTGTATGATTAAGTATTATGTACTATTATGTAATTCATGTTGTTTGCAAAGAGGTGGGTAGAGTACGCCGTGTCCCGCACTTGCAGGACAGACTTAGACTTGGAAGCTCCTTTATATAAAAGTTGAAACGGCCACCAGTGACCAGGGGTTTCGGAGCCAGCAGCCAGGCCAGCACGCCAGCACCATTTTTGTCAGCATCCATGGACCATCCCCAGCCTTTCATCCGCATTGGCCTTAGCGCTATGGCCGCAGGAGAGTGCCCTGCCCTCGAGCACACGCCCTAGCGATCATGTGTCTCTTGTGGCGACCTTCATGTTCCACGACGAGCCGGAACAGGCACGGCAGAGAATGAGCCGAAGGAGGTTTTTCCCCCATGGGTTCTGATCAGCATTGATTTCAATGGGTTTTATAACTGACCACCATTGTTTTACTGAAGGGCCTTAGACAAAAAAACGATAGGTCACGCCTTTCTTTGAATTGAATTTTGCAGCCTAGGTGTGCTGTTTTGGCGATGCCATAGGCCAAATCATGAGGATTTGCATAGGCCAACCAGACGCAAAATGCAAAGGCAGAGCAATGACTTTGGGGGTTGGCGAACTCTTCTGTTCAGGGAGCTATTGTGATGGAAAATGGTGGCCGGACCCAGACAATTTGATCAGATATCAGCAGTCAAAAACAAGTATTGCCTGTGAAGTCGGTCGGGGTACTTTTTTAGCTAGCTAAGGATGGGGATTTGCAAGGATATGCAATGACAGAAGAAGTGTAAAACTGTGAAGTAAGGGTTGTGCAGAGTGTTCTTTTTTACATGTTCGTTGTTTCAGCGATGTGTTAGCATGCAGCCAAGGTGTTTCCCAAACGTAATAGCAAAAAGATCGAACAACCAACAAACACCAAGACGTATTGCGGCATGAAAAGGTTCCAACCACATCCAACGACCTCCCCAAGATTTGCCGCTGTCCTCGTAGCCTCGGCGTCAGGTCAACCGCAGGATGATGATCCCACCCCACGCCGCGCATTCCGTCGCTTGGACGTCGGAATACGGACGCTGACGCACCGACGGACGGTGCGGAATTCGACCGTGGGCCGGGGTTCGGGTGACCACTTCGAAGAGAGAAAAGCAGGTTGGAAGTGGCTTTGGACAGTTTAATGAGAAAAAACTTAAGATGCCACTGACTGAAGTCATGGAAATTTGTTGAACAATAAAAAAGAAACGTGTACCTTAAAGTTGGTCCAGTTTTATTGGACCAACCTGATATTTTTGGGGGGGTGCCTCAGCACCAGTCCCTCCACAGACTAATTTGGAAGAAACCAGTTCAAGGATGTAATGGACCTTTGGAAGACTATTATGTTCATGTATAACTGCAGTGCTTTTCAGGTTCCATGTGGGTCTCGAAACCAGGACATCAATTCACCAGCAAGAACCACCAACTTGTAGGCCTTATTTGCAGTCGCAGTGCTTGAGTCATTGAGTGTAGTACTGAAAGCCCAACCCGGGAGGGAGCGTTTGGTATAGATGGTTTCTGGCCTTGCCTGGCCATAAGCTCACTGTGCCCGTGCCACCATTGATGCCACTCCAGAAGGCCAGCTAATGCATTAAATCTAAAGGGGCGCCGAACTTGGAGGAAGTCGAGGTGCCCTTTGTGTCCACTCACTTAGGGACTTAGAGACTAAATGGCGCCCCTTTGTAACTCCTGGATGCCTTCATTTCTTTACAAAATTTGACGTTTCCACATGTTGGGCTTTGGAGTGCAAAGATTAGATGCCAGCAAGCCCAAGGGGAACAGCTATGCACAAGTGCTAGTCAATATTGGATGTAAGGATGTGGAATCGGGTGAATCTGGAGGATACAACTGACTGGTGCGAATAGTAAATTATGGTTGCATCCTGAGGAATCATATTGCTGTGGAAGCTTCCCCCATTCCCTATGATACGTAGTCACACCAGTCAGCGTCTCACATTCAGTAGCCTCGCCCCACAGAGCGCTAAAACCTCGGTCGTCCGCCCGCTTGACAGGACAGTCGACATAGTTCCCCACCCCATGGGACAGGTATAGTTACGCCATACATTTACCCCATTGAGTTTGTCCTTTTAACCTGTAACTGTCAGTAAACAATTATCACAATGTTTGAACAACGCCTTTACTAACCATCATCATCCACTGGGCCCTGGTAGACTCGGATAGACCCAAAGCTACATCCAAGCTGACCCACCCTTCCAGTGGACGAACGCCGTGGGCCGAAATCGGTGGGTGCGAGATGCTGCGAGGCACACCAAATGGGGCACTACCATGTACAGCATGGTACTGCACCACAAGGACCGGTGATGTGGCGCCGGTGGCGATGTTTCTGGCGACCCGTCCGGGGACATCCAAAAACGTGGAGGTTCGTTCTGTTTGGAGCTGTTCTTATTGTTTTGTGTGTGACACAGGCGTTTTTTTGGTGTTTCTTTTGTTCTTATTGTGTAGAAGCTTGATAGCTCTTAAATCATATATGGGGTTGCAACACCTCTCCGTGTTGGCGTTCTATTTATTTTACCGGTCTACGGTCTATGGTCAGTGAGTTGGCCATCTTGCTTGTCCTCGTGCTGGAGTGTGTGACAGCGATCCAATCCAGAAGAAGATGTATCACTAGGGAACGTCAGAGATCATGCCAAGGTCGCCTGAATCCGAAGCAAAAAAGCACGGAGCACCAGCTTAGACCAACGTTTGGGATTCCTTTGCCTCGTGTGTTCAGCAGAACACCCTTTAGCAGCTAACTTTAGACTCTAGACTTTAACACCTTTCAGATCATTCATGGCCAGCCACCCAAAAGTCAAAGCAGGTAACGTTTTGGGTCACTTTGTCTCTGAATTCTGCTCAAAACCCCACCGATTGTAGTGCCCTGGCAAATATGGATGTTTGGACAGATATGTGGGAGGATACCAGGCACATCCAGAAACGCGTGGGGTTATCATGATGTGTTGCAGACCCCGCCTTTGGTAAGACCAGCGCAGAGACAGGTGATGGGTAGTCCTCAGGCCGGTTTCTCCACAGGGGCGCCACACGCGCAGGTGACGGGATGTACGCGATGGGCGCCATGTACCCGCAGCAGTACTTGTGAGGAGCATCTGGATCGAAGGGCTCGGGGTCGGGATCTATGACATAGACTCTTGATGACTCTTGATTTTTCAGCCTCCTCACATGAAGAGGTGTTTCAATATGGAGGGTGGTTATTCATCAAGAGTCTACATTATGCAATTATGCAACATATATCGCAGACCCTCTGAAATATCAAGGTTTGGGCAGATCCATAAGTTTCACTGGACTTTGTGGACTCGTGGACAGAAACTGACTGGATCCGCAGGGGAGAAGCTTTGGGGCTCATGGACTGCAAACAGGTGTCCACCTTGTAAATTGAAGGTGTTCAGGAGGTTTCAATAGGGCAGTGAAGTATATGGACACTGTATCTTAGTGGATATATATATATATATAGAGTAGATGGAGCAATACTTAAAAAGGTGGTTACGTGGTTTGTATGATTTCATTTGGACCTCCATCTAAAGGACATCTGAGGGTTCATGCCATCAAACCTCTGAAACCACTGTATGATATTCATGTGTCCATCGGCACCTGTTCACCTCTAAGTTTTAAAGTACAGGCTTGAAGCATCTCCAAGACCTGGCAAGCTCTCAGATGCCACTGTGGGGATGAGAGCTCAGCTCTCAGCTGAATTCCCCAAAAGATGGTCGAACAGGAGCAGTTATTGATGGATTCATCAAAGAAGGCCTATTAGTGAGCCAAAGATTTGGGTTACAGGTTCAAACAAAAAATCCGCCAGCCATGTCGTTTGGGGTCTTACATCGCTCTTTTGATGTGTGATTCGGTCTGAACCTTCACTTTCAACAGGCCTTTCACCCAGGCCTTTCACCGTCACCTGAGTGGTTTCTTTGCGGCCAGAGACCTTGCTGGACTCGAGACGGCCACCAACCAATGAAGCTGGAGCCATCTGTGAAGTGAGGAAAGGTGCCCCGTGGCACTCGGAGCCCAAGACTGAGGTCGGAGCGAGGTCGGAGCTCACTGGGAAAGCCATTCGAAACAGGTCGAAAAAACGCCTCAGCTGGCGGGGGGGAAGTCAGGCCTCAGCTTTTCTTTGGCTCTGATGCCTCATTCAGTCTCAATTCTTTGCAATTAAGCATTTGCGGCAGCGACCCCTGCGACGAACCTGCGGATTCAAGGGATCATTCACCTCAAGCCAGGCCGCCAGATGAGCACATCAAAGAACATCCAGCCAATATCGAGCCACTGGAGTTTTGGGGTAAGTTGAGGATACAGTTCATGTGAGTATAATTACCCAGACTCTCCGTGCAACTGGACGAATATTATATTACTATAATTTATGTATATGTCTAAACTATTTAATAAACAAACAACAGCATATAATAGCATTGGCCCCTCGAACCACTCCAACGTAGCCTAGTAGCCATACAAATAAGCTATGTTATCCAGCAGCAACCGCGAAGCAGATCACACGTGGTGACATGTGCAAATGTGGCAGCAAGTGCACTATTCTCCATAGACTTAAACACGAGTTGAGTGTCTATTTGAGTCTCTTTGGTGGTGAGCTGAGTTGAGAAGAGTTGGGCCAGCCAGATTTGCAGTACATTTTGGTACACGTAAATTTGATTGTTGGTCAAACTCCTTTCATCCCTTTGACGAATCACCCATGGAATCTGGAGTGTTGATATTGGATGCAAGAGCCACTGGCCACGTTCATTCGTTCGTACAGTATTTGTGGCGGGTCCATTGGTGCAAGGGCTGGTGGGTTGGCACCACACTCTTCAGATCGGACCATGGCCCCCTTCAGCATCACACCTCATGTACGGAAGGGATGAAAAAAGCCTACATGGACCACCCCCAAATCACTCCCAACTGATCGGCACATCTTTTAACATGCAGTCTTTGGGTTCAGACCTTCCACATCACAGTGCTTCAGCATTCAGATCTTCAGCATCTCACCCCCTCCCAGGGTCCTCGTCTTGTTGCCATGGCCCCGGTGGGGGGGCATGATCGTCGGCGTCGCGGACGGGGCACGGCCCAACGTCAGTATCACTCGTTCCCTCGAGCGAACGGACAGGTAGCGAACACCCAAAAAGATGCCTCGCGCCGAGCGTCGCGAATGGGGCACTGGAGAAGTGCGCGGATGGGCAGAAGTGAACATGTTCAGACCAAGGTAGACAGTTGATGAATACAACTCATTTGGATTGAAACGCCTCCTCATATAGGAGGTGTTCATCAAAAGATGTCAAGAGTCTACATTATGGGTTTCTTCTTGTGAGTGCAGTCCAACCGCGCGGGTGCTTGGTAGAAGAACACCGACTGCAGACCGCTGTTGTTGATTACGAAGGTTCCTTACCGACTGCAGGTTTGCAGCGCACCCTTCAGTCACATCATACCCTCCGACTCACTGACATTGAAGTGGAGGTGGCATGGAGCCTTGGATGACTGCGTTCCTTTATGACACCACCCTCTAGGGCCCTGCTGTTGATACAGCAAACCAGTGGAGTATTTCTGGCCTCCTTTTTTCGGTGGGTTGCCCGAATTCAGGCAACAGACTCTCCCACTTCATGGAAGATACCGATACCAAAATTCATTGGTGATCCAGATTTGCCTTTGGGAGAAAAGCCCTCAAACTCTCGTCAATTCTCAAATTCGTGAGTCTCTTCCATCCTGGTTTTCCGCTTGAATCCTTGGGCCTCCAACTCCAGGTCCCGCGCTCCACCGGGTCCCGGCGCCCGCTTTCCGTCTCTTCAGCCGTCGCCGCGACTTCCGTGCAGGCCGAGACCCCGGGAAAGAACGAGACGAGCGGCGGCGAGAAACATCGAGCGGGCCGCGGGTTGGGGGACCGGACGGGGGGACCTGGAAGGGACCGGTGTGAACCAGGCATTTCGTTGGTCCATTTGGAAAGCAAGAACACCTAAGTCTGTCCGCCTTCAAAGAGGGTTAGTGTTTTGATGTGTCTTTTTTTTGTTTGGTTTTGTGGATGAAACAGGCTGACATGGTGCCATATGTTGCTTCAGGTATACATTCACGAATGGGCACGGCCTTGGACCTGCTTTCATGAGCCATCTACTTGGCATCCCTACCTTGGCATCCTCTCTCGGAGCACGAAGTTTGATTTTAAAGTTACCTGGAGTCTCCAAGTACCTCCGAATAAACGTACAAGTACCTGTTGTTTGGGGGTCTAATTATATACGAAAAGACGATTTGCAGAGACCCACTCGCACCACCCGTCAGCCACGGGTGCCATGGTGCCACCGGTCGTTGGTGCTCACCGTGTCCATGTTCACCGGAGGCCCACTGGTCAATCTGTTCAGCTGCAAGTTCTCACATCAGCTGCTGGGGGATTCGAGTGATGATGCAAAGACGAAGCTACATGCATCCATCCAATTGCAACTTTCATGCTAAAGGTAACGGCAAAGAACTGCCAGCGTTGGCAATACTGCTGATGTAATTGTACTTAATGAACCACTTGAAGCCACTCTCTAATTTAAGCAAGGTGGCCTGTGCGGATTTGTGCCAACAAGGCCTTTGATTGGGGAGATTTGATTCATCTATATATCATATTATGGGCAAACATTATATATAGTGAGTTTAGTGGTACATTCCTAGTCCTTTCCCACCAGCCCATTTTCACAGCCAAAATCAACCGAGCGCGCCGTCTGAACCACGCTGAGGACTTGCCTCCTGCCTTGGTGACACTGAGCAAGAACGCCGGCGACGCAGAGGTCGACGCCGAGGACGGAGGAATGGAGGGAACTGAAGCTGTAGATCATTTGGTGCGCTGGCAGCACTCCTTCAAGAGGTCTCCATTGGGAACTTGCTAATTACACAAAAGTTGCGGGTGGTGACTGGTAATCGACATTACGTGCTGGAATGTGCATGTATAGTCATGTAGTGACCATAGTGACTGCCAAGTCTCTCCTTAACACCAAAACTAACTTGGACACAAGTGACCACACTGATTTATTTGGATGACCTCATGTGTCACCTCAGACTGCAGAGTCTTTGAGACCATGTCCCTGACCTTTGTAGCTCTAGGAAGAGGCGGATGGTGCCAAGCAGGCCTGATCTTTATGGCCAAGGGACGACAGGGTCGAGGGTTTTGGGGGTGCCAAGGAAGGAGGAGGCCTTTAAGACTTATCCTTGTGCTCCATAGTCCAAAATGATCCAAGGTTCCAAGACGAGGTAACCTGCTGGGTGTTGCTGAAGGGGCAGCGCCGCTGGGCGAATCGGTGTTGGGATGGCGCTAGTCGGTGGCGTGTGACTCGGTGGCGTTGGAGAATGGAACACCACCAGAGATTCATGCTTTAGCGAAGCCTTTCAGGTCTACGAGTCACTCAAACTATAAAAGCATCTCAAGTTGTAGCTTTATTAAGCTTTATTACATAGGGTACTCGGAGTAACGAGCATCACTGGTTCAACCAGTGCTTTTGCATCCGGGACGCAGTCTTGGGATGTTTGTCAAGCGGGACGTTGAATACTGTGCTCCTTTTCCGGAAGATTTGCCAGAGCTCTATGCCGGATGGATTGAGTGCCGGGCCGCCGTTTTCCTTTTTTTTCCTCCCACCTCGCGCCAGTCCAAGAAGAAGCGCCGCGGGGAGTGACGGCGCTGCGAGTACCGACCCGAAAAAGGCAGCGTGAACAACGGACCCCGTGAGGATCTCGGCATGGCACGCCTCAGGCCTCCTGATCGACCATTCTGCAGCTACCTTGAGTCTCCAATGACCCTTTTAAATTTGCCTTTCCAAGAAAAAGATGTTTTTGAAAGAACGCACTCTTTTTTGCATATGTCACGAAATGTTCCTTTTTTGTTTGTGCCCTGTCAGATCCTCCTTAGACAGTGTCCTGAGACCTTTTTTCGGCGTCCAAAACGCATTTGTTTGCATCCGAAAGGCGTCTTTAAGCGTCCGTACCGGACGCGTCCGGATGAAGATTCACTCTGTACCTTTTTTTGAGTCCTCATCTCTGAAAACGCGTTTTTCGAGCAAAACCGCAAAAAATATTAGACCCAAAACAAAAACGCAGAAAAAAAAAAGGTCTTTGGAGACTCAAGGTAGATGTGGAAGAGCTATAGAAGGACCTCTAGATGTGGCCGCTCCAGCTCTGTTGGGATGTTTTTTTTCTGCATGGCGACCCTGAAGCACTTCATGCGGTCAGAATTGGATGGCCTTCCTGAGTTGCGGGGGATGAGGTTCTGCTTGCCACAGAGCCATCCAATGTGCAGTTGCCACAAGGGGTGGGGTGCAATATAGAAGGACGGCCAGGTTTACGCTATAAGGAAGCAGGAGCGGGGATACCATTTGGCGAAGGATACTGGATGTAAACCCCAGAATTTGGTCGCAGAAGTGGCAGATGATGGTGCTTTTTCCAGGTGTCGCCCGTGCAAGCTGTTCGATCACAACTGTCCCTGAGACATACCCACTCCGATGTGGCGTTTGATCATTTGACAATGCCTGCAACACGACAAGTAAGCACTCTGGGTTCATGGTACGGGCCAAAAAGATTGATCTGTCTGTGGTGAGATGACGAAGGCTCTCGAAGGACCCTTTTCAACCACAACCACCTTGTAGAGTGGCTGGCTATGGCTTGCAGGGCACCTGTTTTCTATCAGGGAGGTTTGGCAGCCATAATCAGTGAGTTCGCTTTTGAGGCGCTTGAAGAGATCTTTAGCTACCGCCCCAATCCGCCCCAAGACGACCAATGTAGGTCAAGACGCACAGCTTGCCAATCCACTTTGGATGGGTCCAACCACCGCCCAACGGTGCGCTTGCCGCTGGCCGATGCTGGCCATCGCTGCGCCGCGCTTCGCTCACGTTTCCGGTCCAAGCTGGTACCTCAAGGGCTCGCGAGCGCCTCGCTGTGCCTTGGAGGTGGGAGGACGGAGGTGGACGGTGGGTGGTGGCCCTCCCCCGATCCGTATCAGGTGGTTTCAAAGGAAATGGCTATAGTTTCATGGGGTTTGGATGGAGGATAGAACTGCCTTGGATCGCTTCAGGGTACAGAGCTAGTAGATGAACCAGCTCAGTCTTGTGGATGCTTATAGGATGATTCCAGCGGCGCCCTTCCTATGTTTCTTTTGCTTGGAGATTGCCGGAGTCTCAAGAGAGGAAGAATATCTTACTCTAGCTGTAATGCATGGGACACTTTTGCCTTTGAGAGCAAATGATCACCATTCAAAAGAACTTTGTCATGGTGTGTGGACTATTGGCCTTGCTGTTGCCGTAAAATGATCACACACCATGAATGATAGTACATGTAATTGTCTATAAACATCACCGACCTAAAAGCCTTTTTGCTCCAGACTCCAGACTCATGTTTCGCCGACTCCTGCACCCTCGACTCACCCGGTTTCATCCCAGCGGACCGAGCCAGCAGGTCCTCTTGCAGCCATGGCCGGGCTTCCTCAGTGTTCACCGAGACCGGACTGGGCCGACGTCGATTCGGACGGGGTCGAGGTCGTGGAGCGTGGAGATTGGAAGGAGGAGGCAGTGGAGGAGGCTTACATATATACAGATCGTATGGTTTTGGTTGGAGAAGAGAGCATTTCATGCCAGGTCACTGCAACTAATCGATCATCATGGATCATGCGTCAGGTTTCGAAAACAACATTCACCTCCCCATCTTCGCGGGTGGGTTAGCATGTTCCAAGATGTTCCAAGTATGATGTTCTCATTATGGATCCCAAAACACCCCTCCCCTTCCGTCATCCATCCCCCAAAGCCAGGGGCTCCTTCCACTGGCCGTTCGCCGCCCCGAGTGGGCCGAACCCCGGCGGAGTTGAGGTGAAGAAGTTCCGGAAACGCGAAAACCGGAAGCGCGGCCACCCAGACGCTCGCGCGTGGCCCGGTTTCGACGATGGCGTCGGAGGAATGCCTAAAGACATCATCGCCTGGGCCAGCCAGAACGGTCCATCCTCTTGATGGCCTGATGCATGTGTTCCACAACTCTTAGTCTTCCTCGCTTCCTGACCGCCTCTGAGTCACTCTGACTCTTCCTCATCGATTGACGGGAGGATGTGGCCACCCCCTGGTGCCCACTCAAAGTTCGAACGCATGTGTTCCTCCGTCCTTGCTGGGCCTGACGGATGAAGTGACTTCGGATGAGACGGTGGGGGCCACGACGACGGCGTGGACCACGGACGGTCCCACGGACGGTCCGACGGGGTCCCATCCAGGCTGGCCATTGTGCAGCAGGAGAAGATCCGACGGAGGCAGGTCCGACAGGTCCAGCGGGTCCAAACCCAAGAGCGAGCGAGATGAATGTCGGTTTCCACCGGATGGTCGACTCATAACATCTCATAAACCCTTTCGCTTTGAATTGAACAGCCTCTGCATATGGGGGGGTTATTTTTGTTAAATACAGTGTGCAGTCTACATTACTTAGTTGGTTACGCCCACCATTTCATGTTGTATAGACAATGGCTAGCAGCACCCTCGCTGGGAAATTGTCGTGGGCATCTTAGTTGTATTTGGCAGGTTGTATTAAACGTGGGCATGTTCAACTTTCAACCTTGTCCTGAGAAAAGTATACAACCTCAATTGCAAACATGTTGCCGCTGCCTGGTTGAAACCACAATCCATGTAGGTATGATTTCCATCCACCAAACATGTTGTTGAAACATGGCAAAACACATATTCAAACCTTTTGAGACAGTGATTCAAAGTTTGGGAGTGTGGGTAGTTTTGGCAATGAGGTGATTGAGCTACCTGCTGCATACTAAAAGAGCACCCATTGAACAAGTAAACGTTTTCTTGTTTTCCATGACGTCTCTTCAGAGATGTTGGTGGATTGAATTCGATTCAAGTTGGCCAAGAAACTTTTATAAAATCTGAGTGCAAAACGTTTCAACGGAACGGATTTTACAAGGAACATCAGGCTCCCCCGCATGTGCAGATAACATGTGCAGTCCGCTGGCTTAAGCGTCCATCTTGAGGGACATGTGGGAAAGAGGCAGGGCTTTGACCAGGCCTTTTTCCAGGGCTCATTCGGATCACTAGGGTTCAGTCAGTGCTTCTTTGGGCCCATGATCCTGAAGCAATGCAAACCATTGCCTATTGAAGTAGCATTCAACAGGCTGGGATTCTGAGGTCCCTACTGCTAGCCATCTCTCTAACCATCATCCAAAATCGCGTATATAGATGTTGATTTCCTTCACCCATTTTCGGACGATGGGGTCGACCTCATCACCTCAGCTTGGAGCCAAGAGCCCTCAACACGAATCCTCCGCTCTCGCCGCAGAGTGCAGAGGATTCGTGAAAACCGAGATGCGCACAATCTCCAAGCGCCAGAGGTGGGGAAGCCCGCCTTTGCGGATGGACCTGCGGTGGACCTGCCAAGCGCATGAAGTTCCATGGGGGTTTGTTTCCACACCCCCTTTTTGTTTGATTTCTTCTATCCTTGGCAATGGAGGTTAGTGAGCACGTCTTCGTGAGCAATAGGTTTGTCCCTCCCAACCTTTGTTCACATTGATTTAAGTGAAGTGGAACACTTCAAGAGGCGGCCAGCAGTTCCTTTTTTAAGGCCCGAAGGGCCGGACGGTTCTTCATGTTAAGATGTTCGATCTGCTCACTCCCCTCCCAAAGGCTGCAGGTCTCACTGCGAAGACACTCACTGCGGAGATGGCCCTTCCGGTATCTCCCCTCCCGCATGTCTGGCCTAAGGCCGGCACAAGCTTCAAGCACATCAAGAACAAGCTTGGGGGGGCCCAGCCTGGTTGGACATGTTGAACGGCAGATCGGCAGATGTGTTTGTTTCCGGGGAGGGTATGGAAGATCCCAGCTAGATGTTTTGTAATGTGTTGTATCGTGTGATTACAGAATATGTTCTTTCTTATTTTTCTTTTTTGGTCAGTTTGTGTGGGCTTTGGGGTGATGATCAAGTTGATCAAGACTGCACGCCAAAAGAGGTCTTTCAAAGGGGGAGTGGCGAACTGCCAACTATTGCAAAAGGAACAAGCACACACACTTCACTTTTGTGTGTGTGTGTGTCTTCCTTTGATGGTCGGTGCCTCCAAGATCAGGCATGACACCGGTGCGGCCGGTGCGTTCGATCCGGTCCGAGGCAGAAGCGTTCCCAGATGGTGCAACTCATGAAGCAGGAGGGGCAGACGGCGGACGTCGAACCAAGGACGACATGTAAAACCGTCGCCAAAGGGGAACGGTGGCGTCGCCCTTGGGAGTAGGTTTCTATTGGCCGCCGCAGGCCACCTGATTGTTGCATGGCTTAATTGAACCTTTTTGCTTATATACATTATGGAGCGGTTGAAAAGGGGGTCAATGTAGACACATATTCAATACATGCATGGTCTGAGGACCCATGGGACCGATCTTGGCGAGATGAACAGAGGTCAATGAACAGACTAACCGCGGTCTAGCCTAACTGACACTTGTTGGGCTATCGGGTAAAACTCCACTTGCAACGCAAATGCTTCAGAAAGTGGGACAGAATATCAAGGGCAAGGGAACAAGACCCGCCGATTGGTCGATGCTCTTGTCAGGACATAACTCAATAATTAGAAATATATATATATACCCTACAAGTCCAAAGACCCAGTAAAACCTGGTCTTTTACCTCCCTAGTATTGGTTTTGTGTGACCAACCCCAGTAAAATGAGGTCTTTGACTTGTAGGGATAGGTTGGATAGAGCTATCCAATTGCTTGCATGGTTTGCAAAGTTTGGGCGCTGAAACTTAGCAACTGAGTTCAGGAGACACAGCACAGCACTTCCCCGGAGCTTACAAGAAGTATTGGCGGTCCTTTGCATAAATGGGATTGCTGAGGTTTGGGTGCTTGCACATGGCATCAAATATGTAAAATAAACTTGACTTCCAACATGTCCTGTTGCTAGGCGTGCTTTCATTGATAGTCGATCCGGGATGTCGAAAAGCACGCTCCACATCAATGTGCTAGTTTTGCTGTGACCTCCTAGGCTGCTTCACACTGTGTTACTGTTAGAGGCTATGGGGCACCTTTATACATGGGGACCTTCAATCAAAACATATATGTATTTAACAAGTAACTAGGCAGCTTCGGCTGTTCAAGCGAATTCACAAGACAAGCCAATGCACCGCTCCAGCTGGGTCCGCGCTGTGGTCATGGCAGGAGAAGAAGAAACAAAAATCCAAGGCAAGGCATCTGGAGGATCTTCGTGGGGAATTTCTGGTGGATGGAGTGCGGGAATGGCAGGATCTGGATGGTGGGATGAGACAACTGGTCGAATCGTTGCGCGATTGCGTGGGAATCACCCACTAAGGATCAGATGTGTTTTTGGGAGGTATGCAGTATGCTTGCATTGCGATGAAATCGTAAAGTAAACAGAGTTGTGAGATGATGAGAGAGAAAGTGAAAGAGAGGGTGAGAAAAAGGATGAAATGTGTGATGTAGTGCTAGTTTTTGTACCGCTTGGGCATAGCATAGCGCTATGTGTTCTGAGGCATATGTTTTTTCACTCAGAGATTTTATGTCGACCGCCGCAGAGTTCACTTTGGCTTGAGTCAAGCCCCGAAAACTAAGCTGCCAGCTGTTCTCACGGCATCCGCTGGGTGGACACCGACGTGACGTTGGCAGACCCTTTGATTAAATTCATGGATCCGTGCAAATTGGCTCAGGCTTTGGGGTCGAACAGGTGGAACTTAGAGCAGCCAATCAATGCCGTGCAGTGACTGTGAAGAAGGCAAAGCAGCTCCAACGTCGAAAGACAGAGACTAAGGGGCTTCGTGAGGAATATAAAACCCTACTCTACAAGGCGTCACCTTGACTGCAGACCGGGTGCGTGCTTTGGGACAGATGAACTCAGGACGCCCCCGAGAAAGTAGTAGTAGTCGTCGCCCCCCCCCTCGAACTGGGAAAAGTAGTAGTAGTCGTCTCCCCCGCCCTCGAACTGGGAAAAGTAGTAGTCGTGAGGGGGGGTGGGCCACAACTACTTCTCGTAGCACAGAATCCTTCTTACAGGCCTTAAAGAAGGATCCTGTGCTACGAGGAAGTAGTAGTAGTCGTGGCCCCCCCCCCCGAAAAGTAGTAGCCGTCAGGGGGGCTGGGCCACGAATTCTTCTCGCAGCACAGAATCCTTCTTAAAGGCCTTAAAGAAGGATCCTGTGCTATGAGGAAGTAGTAGTAGTGGTAGTAGTAGTAGTCGTCGTCGTGGCCACCCCCATTCTGCTACGTACCGAGCTTGTCGGACGTCGTCTTGTGTGGCGGTCACGTCCGCAATGCAGATTTCAAGTGCAAAGCAAATGAGTGGCAGGTGCAGGGAATGAGATGAGGTGCAGATTTCAGCCCCCCCCACGGCGCTGTAAGGGCTTTGGTGTTCAGACACTAACCGCTACGGTTCCCGCTTGACGAGGCATTTGAGAAGGATTCTGTGCTACAAGGGCTTGTAAGAAGGATTCTGTGCTGCGAGGCCTTTAAGAAGGATTCTGTGCTACGAGGCCTCTAAGAAGGATTCCATGCTACGAGGGGTTGTAAGAGGGGTTCTGTGCTACGAGTAAGTAGTAGTAGTAGTAGTAGTAGTAGTAGTAGTAGTTGTTGTAGTTGTAGTTGTAGTAGTAGTAGTTGTTGTTGTCGTGCCCGCCCCCCCCCCAGCCCCGGCCGGGGTAGAGGTCGTGTGGGCGCCACCCCTGCCACACGAAAATTAGGACACCCTTCGGGGGCGGCCTCGATGAACTATGCTACAGAACTAATTCAAACCTGACATCAGGACGCTGGCAGAATACTGAAGTTCCTGCAAGTGGAATGAGCTTCGAGACCCGGACGAGCAGATTCAGTGGAGGAGATGGTGAGCACCTGCAGCAGGAACAAGTTGGACTGAGAGTTCTGAATTGGTTTTCGTAGGGGGAATTCTAGAAATTTGGACGCAGATGCAGCCCCTACTTTGGAACCATACCTAGAGGAACCGTTGGCAGAAATTTTTGCCGAGACGTCAATGTGCCCTGATTTCAGCCAAATTCATCGAAAAGCGCCGAGTCCAACAAAAAACGCCGAGGAATATGAAAATTGCCGACTTTAATGGTTTTCATTTGCTAGATTCTCAAACCAGCACTTGAGAGATCGTGCCAGTCTTACCAAGCCCTTCCCAGCCCTTTCCCAAACCAAACCACAGGGTGACCATCCACAGTTTGGGCTTACATGTGAGGACCGAGGGATTGGCATCCACAGTTTGGATACCTTGGAATCCTTGCACCTGGGGACAGAGATATTTAATCAATCCACAGTTTGGGGGTGCTTACAAAGACTAAGTCTATGCGCCTTGGAGGGGTTTTCAGGACTTCCTTGATATTGTCCCTACTGTTTTCTTGAAAGGCCAATCCAGGCAAGCCAAGTTCTGTCTTTGCTTCTCCGGATCACTCTCCAAAGAATGCTTTACCCTTTCATGACCCAACCTCCCTTCACAAGGGTGGTGGTAGAACAGCTGCAATCCACAATTGGGTCAATAAAAAGATCTTTCCAGTGCAGCCATCCAAGATGTTGATTCATATAATATAGGAACCCCAACAAAGCAAAAACATGGTTACGGACAATTGCGCCGAATTGTCGGGGAATTACGCCAAATTGTCGGGGATTTACGCCGAATTATCGGGCAATTACGCCGAGATCTAGGGAAGACAAAACGATTGAAAACTGTGAGCAACTTGGCTGAGACATGCTGAGACGATTTCACGCAAGGGTGCCCGATCCGATTGGTTCACGGTGAGTTTATGTTGAATTATGCATGGTCAATGCACAGTCTTCTAACTTTCACCTTGGTGATGTACTTAAATCTCTCCATTCACCGGGTATGTTCAGCAGCTTTGTGCCACTGTAATGGGACATCAGGGCAGAAGGTTGCGTCGGGCCACAGAAACCATTTAAGCATTTTCCCCGGGCCTTCTCATTTCTGTAATTTTAATAAACGGTTTCCTTGATCGGATCCATGGCTGGATTTGAGTGTTACAATGAATCCGTAAGCCAACAATGCTTGGCAAGAGTTAGGAACTACTGAAGAAAAACACTGGGTGTGAGCAGCCAGGGCGCACCTCAAGCATGCCCGGTTCACCAGGTATTTGAACCCTAGAGGATTGTCGAGCCGAATTATCAATATTTTTTTGTAATTCAGATTGGTTCTGCATCGAATAAACCAATCAATGTGTTCAAGGACCTCAAATACCAAAAACGCCGAGTCTATCTTGGTTTTAGCAAATTATGCCAAATGCCCCTTTTCAGGGCAAATTACGGGTAAAGGCGCTTTTTGCTGAGGTGGCAGAAATTTTGGTGCACTTGGAGTCTCTAGGTATAGCTCTCGTCAACAGAATCAGGGGTGTGATGTATTCTGCGCCGCTTGTGTCAATCGCCGCAGGGTGCACTTTTGAGTCAAGCCGCGAACACAAATCTGCCAACTGTTTTCACAAGATGGAAAGGATGTTCACCAGTCGACGTTCATGCGGGTTTCTATGCGTTTTGGTAAAACTTTTGGATTCAGGTCCTGCCCCAAAGATGTCTTCCAGTAGTGGTTCACGGGGGTTTGTGTGCGTCTTTATAATATAATGTATGCATTCAGGTCCCGCCCCATTGACAAGATCGACTTTTCAAGGTGATCCTCAGGCAGGTCTATTTACAGTTTTGCAGTAAAGTGCGTGGATTCAGGTCCTGCCCCAAAGATTTGTGAGTTGGGAAGTAGCTTGGATGGCTTGTCCCCTCATCTTGCAAAACAAGGTTGGCCCGCCTTGTCTGGTAGTCCGGGGTTTGATAGGATGGGTGAGAGGTAGTACACTGTATACGCAGTTGTGGACACATGTGGTTTGGCTCCTGAAATGAGTCTGGGCTCTGGACTGTAATGCTGGCTGCTGGATTTCTGGGCCGAGCTTCGAATGTGGGAGAAGTTTTTGGACCATGGTAGGGCATTCAAGGCTGAGCGGCTTTTGGCGATGGCTTTGTCTCAAGCCCGCTCCCCATCGGCGTCCCAGCAGACCATTAGTGGGCCCGCGATGTGATTCTCAACGTGTTGGGAGTCTTTGCGGATCGGAGTCGTGGGAAGACTTTTACCACCCCGTTCTTGTCGGAGAGCCACCGTTCTTGCCGGAGAAGCTCGCAGCTTCTCTGAGTGATGAATCAGATGAACGCTGCCCGGTCTAGCTTTTTGCTCTGTGTGTGAGTGATGAGCTTGCAAGCGTCGTCGCTGCTGCTCGGAGCCCGGGCCAGAAACCACATCTTCATGAAATCGCAATATTCCGCTGATTTTGACTCTTGACCCTCATTTTGTGCGAGATGGTTGCCGCCGAAACTGATGAATGTCGGTACATGTGTGGTCGACCCTGATGAATGTCTCAAGCACCAGGCGTTGCAGTGCCTTTGACCTTTGTCTCAGCTTGCAAGGCAGCTGGAGGCCATGGCAGGAGATGTGGTGGTCACATGTCACAACAGACGCATCGTTGCAGCGCAACGTTCCCGCAACGGTGATGACATGTTTACTTTGGCTGCGGTAAATGATCGTGGTTGTACCTTGTATTGGTTAATGTTGTCCATGTCTGTCTGAAATATCAGTAATTCATGTATCATCAATGGATGTTCTCTGCTAATCAGCTGGGGTCAAGAAGTGGTCTTCACTTGTGTGGGGAAGCACCGTAAAGGATCTGATGTTTGCCGGCGCTAGCCGCTAGAACAAGTCCAGAGTATTGTTTGCGCTTTATGTTTGGCAGAAGGCAAGGTAAATTAAACAAACACAACAAGGAGACCGCAGCCTGCACAGCATGCCAGGACCAACACCGTTCTTTTTTTCATGCCGCAAAGAATTGAAACACGCAGGCCCTTGAACTCACCGCGAACTGCCACAAAATGTTATATGTTTGGACTGTTTCGGAATGTTTTGGAAGCAGTCACGGCGAAAAAATGCATATCATATATACACAACTTTTGGAAACATTATCAGTCAACTTGTAACACATTGTTTTAAAGGCAACTTTCTACAGAAAAAATCGTTGGACACGTTGCACGTGGAAAAATGATTAGGCTAGCACATCGGCCGCTTAAGCGATGGATAACGATGAAACATTTACAACGATGACGTCTCTATTTCCGAGTCGAAAATGCAACTATATTATACATACTTTATATAAATTGTTGGTATAGGATTAACTGGACGACGGATGGCCCGAGAACGTTTAGGTGTAGAGTTTTTTTGGTGTAAAGTGTAGAAACAATTTAGGGTTATTTTTGTGTTTTTAAGGACATGGGCCAAATGGCAACATGATATTTTGTCCCGGAATATGGAATCATTGGGGAATGTTCGGAATGTCTCTCAGTGCTGCCAAAGGTCTTTTGCAACTGCGTTGTGTTTTCATGTTCATTCAATGCTCATGTGTACCCTTATGAACTACAACCCCGTTGGCTGCAACAAGTCAAATGTTTAAGAACCTTCTTGCCAGCACCCTCATGCCAGGTCACCACCCACCACTTTGAAGAAGTCTCTATGTCAGCCACCAAACCTAGCAGAGACCTGGTCGTGGCGCTGCGCCCCAGGTGCGCCGCGCGCGAAGAGAGGCGGAGGCACGTGGCGAGGAGGTGCGACCCAGCGCTTTTGGAACCAGTGAAGGGTCTGGGAATTTGACCATGTTTGACTTGTGTTGCAGTTTAGAACCCAGCACCATGTAAAACAATGGTTGTCCGTTAATTAAAACCTTATACTTATAAGCCAATGGTGGTTTGGAATTTGCATGAATTCGGAATGGTTTTGGGTATCGTGCGGGGCTGTGGGAATCCTATCCAGTAGAAGTCGCACCAGGCCTACCTTAATTTCGAAGGTAGGACTGGGTTTGTAAGATCCAAGGAATGCCGGCTACCTGGTTTCCTAGCCGGTTCAGATGTGGCCACGTGGCGGCCATGTGGCCTCTCAACATGCCGACCCAGTTCGATACAGCCAGGACAGCGACACAATCCGACACATATATACTCCATACAGCCTTGTCCAAGCCGATGAACGTTTGAAGAATTGGAAGACAAAACCTCAGGCTCAACCAATCAAAGTGAGTCCTGCACCTTCACATTTATTATTGCCACAGTAGGCATCGGCATGTGACGTGTTTGCCATCAAGGCTCGTTAAGGTCAAGCAGCTTATCTAAGATCTCCTGTTGGTGGATCGCTCTTCAGCACTTTTGCATGACTAGTGGCTCGTGCTGCTCTTTTCTGAGGGGTTTGAAGATATGTCACCCATAAGGGTACCCCAAGATGCCCTCTTCCTTTCAGGCCAAGGCCGGGAACCTGTACCGCCATCAGCCAACCCTGTTCAGTTTCACTGTTCTCATTGAACCCAGCAGCTCAACCCAGCCTGGCGCAGACCCAAAACAGAAACACAAAACCTGTCACCACCGAGCTGGGCGCATTTTCTCGAGTGCTCTTTTCGGGGCAGGTGCCGCACGAGTCTCACCCCCGGACGAGCTCCGCCGTGCTCGCCAGGTGGTGAGACAAGAGCCCAGGAGCATCGATAAGATGCGAGAGCACGGACACCCGGATCCAGAAACGGTGGACCCAGCGAGAACAGGTGGAGCTTTTGTCAGTCCATGTCGTCTTTGGGGGCAAGCGTTTAATCAACAATGGGAAACAAAAGCACAAAAAACGTTTGTGGTTTTCAGTCAGGGCATTCAATTGGGCTTGTCAGGTGCCGTGGCTTCAGCGTTGCAAGACATGGGGGCTGAGTATTTTCACTGGGCCACCTGACAAAGGCATTATTACTATTAAGACATGCATGTCACGAGTGCGGTGTACCATGGATAGGTCGCCAAAGTGATGGGCCGTGACCCACCTGGAGCCCCTGGAGCACCATGTAGCGAGCGAGCGAAAGACCGACACCAGTGGAAAGGTCAACGACAAGGCATCCTGGTGCCATGACCGGCCAGATGGTGTTTCATCATTGGCCCGCTGCAGGGCCGACGAGACCATCGTCCCCGAGGAGGATAGTGAGGCCTGCCACTGTCAGGTCGTTGGGGTCGCTGGGGGTGAACCAGAGGGTCCAACTGAGAATCTGCACGGACTGAGTGTACTGCCTTGCCACACGGAAAGCGGCAGTTTGCTTCATGCAAACGTTGCAATCAGCATCTCTTCATGAACGGTTATGATCACTGGATTGGATAGGTAAATGCATGTGAATACGGAGTGTGCCCACTCTGCTACTGGAAGCAAACACAAAAACCTCTCACAGAAATGACACACAAGTTTTTCTCTTATCACGCAGTGGCATGTAATTTATATATATATACACATACATATAGCTGTGTTGACACACACATATATATATACATACATACATGCTATACAATTTATAGTTGGAGTCTGATACCAAGCTTTCAACAGGTATAGTATACAACGCTTATGGCAACTCCCAAACTTCCCTGGGTTTCTTCGTTGTTTGAACCTCGCCGGGGCAGCCCGTTTGGCGTGCTGTGTAGGTAGAAGAGGATGAGGCCATGGATGAGTTCGAGTGCCTTGGACGTCAGTGAAAACGGTGTTCACTAGGAAAGAGCACCGCTGAGATGCAGCTCTCCATACGCACCCACACCTCACTAAGATGCAAGATAGGTAAGTGAAATTGTAGCCTTTTTCCATGGAAATCTACTCTTTCCAGGGCCCTTTTTGCATGATTCATGAACATGAGTAGCGGACGTCAGACGCCGGAGAAGTCTCCGGTGGCCAGCCCAAGGAAGTATTTCCAAAACGGCAAGAAACCGCCCGGAGCTCAGCTGGGAATCCAGGGTGGACTAGAATATGGAGAAAGGTCAACCATTTCCCAGACACTCCATGGGACTGCCATAGGACTGCCGCCCCATTGACACCCAGTCAACCACCCCTGGCCTGATCGGTAAATATACCAGTCCCATTAGTCGTGTCTGGGTTTGGGTTTTGCTTGGGGTCAGCAGTCCCCAAACACGGTCCCATATTGGACCCGTGCTTCCATGGGGGGACCGTGTTGTGGTCGCATAAGCAGCTTTAGCGACGGTGAGACGCTTCAGGAGTCGGAACTTGGTCATCCGGCTCTCAAACCACTTGTTTCACAAGTTTGCCAAGAACTCTAGAGGCATCAGGTTGAAACCCAATTGCGAACTCGACGCAGGATCGCAGGGATCCGTTCGTTGGGCACTCCGCCCATCGCTAGCTAAGTCTGCAGATGTATTAGCCATGAATACTAGCATGAATATCATGAATAGCTATAAGATTTGAGAGTTTTTGGTACATCACCCATGGCACCCATTTTCTTCTGAAGACCCGTGCTTCCAGGAAAACCCTCCGTTGGTCATAGAAAGCGGGCGGAACTCGAGCAGTCCGCTCGTTGCATCTCATTGCTCTACTTGAGCTTCACCCATGTCCAGCCCCAATCCACCACCAATCCAAGCGCCGCCCCGCGGAACAGCTTGGAGACCGTTCAAACATAGGTTCAATTATATATATATATATATCTATATGTTATACTGTGTTCGAACCACGAGTCTCCAGTTCTGAGTAGTTCATGCCCATGCATGACTTGGCTCAATTCTTCTTGAAGTTCCACGATCTGTGAGTTGCTTTGATGTGTGGTAGTTAGTTCAGCTTGCAGCTTGCGCTCAGGAAGATCTTGGTGACGACGCAGAAGACACCCTCTAGAAAGATGTATGCCTTCTTGAAGGAGACATTCGGACGTGTTCAGCCCCGGTCCCCCTGCACTCGCACCGCAGCGGCGCAGCCGGTCCGAAATCCTCGCAGCGTCTCGCGCACCTGGACACGTTGGTCTCCTTGACCCTGGGAGTTCGGAAGGGTGTTTCGATCGGCGGGTAGGTGCCCACCCGGCGGTCGACTTCCTTCGGTGGCAGCTGGTCGTTCAAAGGTTTCAATGACTTGAATCTGTGAGCAAGAAGATGTTGTACACGCCTAGAAGAGACCCACATGGAACCTGAAAACCACTGCTTGTGGAGGAAGCGAGTATTCCAAAGGTCCATAACATCAGGTTCCATGTGGGTCTTTTCCCAGATGTCTTTGGTTTGTTGTTTCAAGGGCGGATGACGTGGTCTTTTGCTCCCTTCACCATTCGACCCACGGGACACTCGTGGAGGTGCTGGAGGGGCGTTGGCAACAGCTTCCGGCGCCCATGTACGGAATGGTCAACCCCGAATTTACCAAGAACTTGGGATTTGCCACCGAACATGGCCGCAAGTCCACGACCATACTCGAAGAAGTGCACACATGGTTTGTGGTTCACCACGCCCCCCGCTAGGCAGTGTGTTTTGTTTGCGATTTTACAGTACTGTTTTCGACGCTTTTTTGCATCCCAGCTCCATTGCGCAACAATAAAACATATCTCAGACTGCGCATAACATTATGCTAGCTCCTCGCATGTGAATCGAAGTCACCAAATGTTTGCTATGTTGCACTCTTAATTGTACCCTTGGGTGGAGAATTTCCACGTTCTTGCGCCAAGTTGATGCTACGTTGGGTATGGATTGGAAGTTCTTTGATGTTTGTAAACTTGCTTACTTGCAACAACAACACGTACGACATGGACAGTTGCTGACGGTCAGAGCTGCAAATTGTTGGGGTGGGGTGGGGGGGTGGGGCCAACATAATGACGTCGGTGGGGCCAACATAATGAACGAGCTTTGCAAAGTCGCTAAGCATAGCCGGTGAGTGCAAAAAGTAGTTTTGTGATTTCGCAAAACGTAGAGTTTGCAGTTGCATCTTTGAAAGTGATAGTGGCGCTACAGCGCCGTGCGCATGTTAAATTAGACGGTCCTCACGAAACGCCACGGCCTACCGGGGGTCGTGCACCTTGTAGTTGCCCAGCCTCATCTTTGGATTGACCTGTAGCTACTGCAGGCTGGAGTAACATGGATTGACATGGCACAGAAAAGGAAGTTTCCAAACAAAGGCTTGGCTGGACCTCCGTGCATTGGGTCGTCAAGGCGCTTTTTATTTAACATCATCCACCAGGCTTGGAATCTTAGAGTGCAGGATGCCCGTGGACTCAGGGTTAGACGAATGTATGACGCATGTATTGAATGGACTCCGAGCCTGCCTGCTGATGGGACAAGGTCCTGAATTCCATTGTAGAATGCCGGTTTTTCCGACTACCAAACCTGTGGTGAACTCCGCTTCCATGTTAGTGCCAGGGCCAGTAGGTTGACTGTTAGATAGTGGATTCCAGTGGAGGAAGAATGAACTATGCGGTTCACCGGGAAGTTCCAAGCGGCGAAGTATTGCACAAGCGGCGAGGCGAAGGGTGGTCATGATGGTCGGATTTCCAGCCAGAATTCCTCAGACACTCGCGGAAATGGAGCAATATAGTCCCTGGAAGAGTTTCGGCTCAGCTTCCATGATAATTATTTGAAGGTGCAGCAAGTGGCTATTCATCTTGAGGTAGGTAGGGTCTATAGATAGCAGGACAAGAAAACCCAAATTCCGAAGATCTTACGGTGGCTTCCAATTAGGTGGCTTTCAGATCGTCTACCGTCTACCGGTTTGTGGTGGTTTTTGGCGCGTTCGTGTGCGTGTTTTGCTTGGCAAGCACAAGTTTTTTTTCAGAGACCTGGCCCAGCACAGGAGTTGGTTTGCGTCATCCCCAATACCTTCTACTATCCTCGCATCTCGGCGTGTCTTGAAACGGTTGAAGGACACAGTCCTGCCCTGAGGTGGGGAGGGTTGAGGGCCCCTTTCACCGTGGCTCCCATGCTCCAATTCACCACCCAGACCTTGGACCTCGGACCCAACCTCCAGCGTTGGGACTCGAACCCAAACCCTTGCCAATTCGAGTCCAGAGGAGTCCCATCTTGTCAGGCGGTGAGACCCCTAACCCCACCCCAAGCATCGAAACGGAGGTAGGACTGGAGCCCTAGGGGTCGCGATGGAACAGATCTCTAGACTCATTCTTGGTGCAAAGCGCCAACAAAAACACGGGGTTCTTCCTGGTGACAGGCAACTACCTTGCGGATGTCCTTGAAGTTCAATATCTAGCTCCAAAAACGGATCAGGCATTATATACCATGATGGAATCGTTCCCCCAACAAATTCTTCCCAGTCATTCCACACAATATACGTGTGAATTGAATTCGTAAGCCCTGGCGCCATGAAGCTGAATCTTGATCCCTGTTGTCATTTCCCCTATGAAATGGGAGGGGTTAGGCCCTCTATAAAGAAATATTTTGTAGGCTTGCCGGAGCAATTTTGTAGAGCCCATTTTGTAGCTAAAGCGTGCTTCTGGAACCTGGGCACCCATTTTGTAGCAAAAAAGGCATGGACTGTCATGGAGCGTGGAGTAAAATCTGGGCACTTTTGGTGGTGTAACGTGCAACCCGGGAACTAATTTTCTATAAAAAACGTGGCTTAGTTTACAGTGTACAGTTGCCATGCGGCTTGTTTGGCTTGGTTTCCTCTGGTTTGCCTCCACACCAAGGGTGGCCACAAAAACGAATAGATATTAATTATTTAGTTCTTTGACCTGGAAAGCTTCTACAACATGATTTGGGGAATGACCCTGGATGAGCAGTTGAATTTAAAGAATTACGACTATACAGAAAGTTGCCCGACTCATTTTCTAGCAGAATCTGCGCGCTTATTTTCAGAGATTGTGGGAAGGCAGGCGCACATTTTGTAGCAGAACATTTCTTTTTCTGATGGGGGACGGGCCCCTGGTCAGGAAGCCATTGTAAGGCTGCATGTCCTTTGCAACCCCTTTTTGTAAGGCTCAGGTCATTCCATAAAGGGGTCGTTTTGCGTGCCCGTGCCGTTCCGTGCGGTGGGCGTGCCCGTGTGTGCGTTCAGTGCTGCGTGCGGTGCCCGTGCGAAGGGATGATAATATTCAGGCACTGGCACACATCACATCAACTCAATTCCTGCAGACACACAAACAGACAGACACTACGCTGGAAAGAAAAGCAGCTTCCCGAGGCCTGTGAGAGGTGGGGCCGCAATGAAGGGTCCAACCTTTAATTTTGGGTCCACCAGAGTCAGAGAGGTCATCCCTGCACCATTTTGTCAATGGAAGATTGAAGATCAAGATTTTTTGGGCGCCGTTTTCAGGTCAGCATCCTGGACTACACCTCCGCGCGGTGGATGCGGGCCGAGTACGCTCGGTGCAAAGTGGTCGCGATAATTCGGACCCTACTGGGGTCCTGTCAGCAAGAAAATTGTCACGAGAATAAAAAAGAATTCAAGAGATCTGAGGATCCATCAAAAGAACAAAAAAGAAAAGGACAAAATATGCAGAGAGAACAAACGACTGAGAGCCATCTTGAATGGCCGAGTCCTAAAAAGATACAAAATGCGCAAAACAAAATAAAAAGCCTAATTGGATGCGGCCAGAAGTGGCCCGGGCTCTTCCAGCTGCTGGTGCTGACCTGTATCGCTGGCTGGCCTGCTGCTTCTGCTTTGACTGCCCCTTGCACGAATTCTGCCTATGCGGCTATCTGCATGAATCACACGGCCCCCCCCCCCTGGGCCTCCCAAGTAGCTTTCTCTAGCTTAGATCCCTGTGCTCATGGAGCTCCGGCGCCGGCCGTCCTCGCGTGCATTCATGCGAGTGGTGCTGACGTTGGCCCTACAACCAAACTTGGGCATAGCGCTTTGGTGGCTCACGCGGCGCCTGAGCAGCTGTTCCATGGAGAACTGACACGTCGCGTTTGTGACGCTGAGGTGGCAGGGACCGCAAGCACAAGGTGGAACTTGTCTTTGTTTAGTCTGTCTTTTTGGGAGTACGGACTTCTGTTCCACTTTTGGATTCCGGTGTTCTTCCTCCTTTTCGAATGGGATCTCTCCACTTTTTGGCTGTGTTGTGGATCCAGCACCCTCACGAAGTTTCTTTCACGTTTGATAAAACGACGAAACGAACCTTTGCATGACGTTTCCGTCGAAACGAATTTTGAAACTACCAAACAGAAACAGAAGCGGAAAAACAAATGGAGTCGACTGCGCCTGAAACCTGCTGTTCTTTTTAAAAGAAAAGGCAGGTGGCGTCGAAGAAAAACACAATCGGCTCCATCCGATCGACCTGCTCGTCCTTTTAAGTTGATTTGGGCGGCCAGAGTTGTGGGGAAAAAACGAGTGCCAGGGGCCAGGGTTCGTTCTCGACGGCTGGCTCAGCAGCTACATATGCGAGCACGTGCCTATCGTTCAGGCCTCGTGCGTCGCCATGTGCCTCATTTTGGAACAGCCCTGAAAATTTGGAAACCCCTTTCCCCATCTCAGGGCCCTCCCGATTCCTATGATACTTGGATTCATGATATCTCTGACAGCTTGCGGGGAGGTGCCGCCGGTTCGGCACGTACTTGGCGGAAACGCAAAGCAAAACAGAATAAACAGACTGCCCTTCAGAATGATTTGACTCGAACTTTGATTCAGGGCCTCAAAACTTGTCTGAACAAGGGGGCTTCTCAGCATGATTTGCTTCAAATGTTACAAAATTTTGTTGAACCCTCTGTTCCTGTCCCTCGGAAACGTCCCAAACGCAAACCTTCCGCTCAGCATGTCGACGAACATGTCGAAGTTCATGCTCGTGGGGAAAAAAATGATCAGATTGAAAAGCGATTTTGGACTGATTCCCGAGGATCTCGGCCTTACTGGATTGACCGAAAATCCGGATGGTGGTGGTGGTCCGACCCCAGGGGAAAAGAGAAACATTCTTTTGATTCCCACAGTTGTTGGACTCCGCCGGTTCAGTCTGTCCCAAAGAAACCCAGTGTTTCTAGACCCAAGATCACTCAGCTTACTGCCGCCGACTGGAATCAACCCCTTTGTTTCGCTTCTCTCCAGTCTGTTGCCCAATGTATCAAAACCGGTACCCCTTGGACCACCAATGTTGTGGTTTCTGACAGTTTGCACGAAGTTGTGACCTTAAAAGATCTTTTTGATGGCTTCTCTGTCTCTCAGGGTCTTACTGTGGTACTTACCGGTGAAGCAAAAAATTTGCCCGGTGCCTTTCACACTCGGCTGCGTGTCAAACGCACGGGAAAGACGGACAAACTTGAAGAAGTTGCTTTGTTTGCTCTCGGTTCTCGCAGCCCATGGATTTTGCCTCCTCAGCAAGTTGAACCATCGGCTGTTAAGACAGTCGACCGTGTTGGACTGCGCATTCTTGTCCCTGGTCACTATAGAGCCAGCTTCAAGCCCTGTCCTGAAAAAGAACAGGTGACTGACATTCTCGCCGAACTTGCAAGATGGGGCCCCAAGGTTCATCACTTGACAGGTGGACGATGGAAATGGGAACAGCAGAGTCGTGACACTGCCTGGCAACTCTGCGGATGGATTTCGGTGCCGGCCGAGGAGGCCAAAAGCCTCCTGAACTCCAGTGGAAAAAGGGAGATTTTTGTCAACGCCCATCAATCTGTGTCTGACCCTTCCACCCGGCCTGAATTTGTTTGGTTTCCTAAAAACAAAGATGAAACCTGCGACCAGTACCTCCAACGGGCCTTGAATTTGGCCAATACTCGGAAACAGCCTGTCCGTATTCGTAAGGGATTTGGCAGTGACCTTGGGGTGAACGGAAACCCGAAGATGAACGAATCAGCAAGTTTAAACATCTTGAACTTACTGGGGTCCCCCGCCTGTGGAAAGCCGAAGAGATCGAACAATTGTTGACCAGTCAAAAATGGTGTGACGTTCAGGTTGGAAACCCCCGGAAAGTCCAGCGCCAAGTTGTTTGGTACATTCGTGCCAAACCACCGCCCAACTGTCCCAGTCAAACTTCTTGGCGATATCAATGTGCCGACAACTATGATATCCTGCTTAACGAGAAGGTTCGAAATGTGCGCCAACCTTGGACTTCCAATGACGTCAAAGCTCCGGCCCGTAATTGGGCCCATTACGCTGAGACTGCCCCGCTGCACCAAGTGCCTCATGGGGACCGCGGCCGTCCGCAGCGCCAAGCTGAAACTAAGGATGCAACCAGTCGCGATCGGAGTAGAAGTCCGGATGCTGAAATACCTGCCACTATTATTGATGTCGAAACCCAAGATGAACCCCACGCCTTGGACTCTCCTAAGGCGGAGCCGACCGATATCCTGGAGGCCCTTAAACAAGGCTGGACTGTCAAAGACCACTTGGGTTCCGGAGACTGCGGTTGGCGAGCTTTAGCCGACAACCTCGCGTGGCAAAAAGGTGAGGAACTTGAGACTGCTGAGTGTATCCTGCGGGCCAACAAGCTTCGGTGTAAAACCATCGAATACATGCGCGCTAGGCGGGATAGATTCCAGCATTTTATTCCTAACGCTGCCAACTCCCAGGAAGCGTTTGATGCCTATCTTTCAAAGGCTGTGAAACAAAACCATTGGATCAACGGCGTACTTCTCCAAGCCCTTGCTGAAAGCTTGGCTTGTTGCATTGTCATTTGGAAGGAAGACCTGGGTCAAATGAGGCGATACGCACTTGCCAAAGATTGGCGGGATGGATGGCCCAAAGTTCATTCCAAGTCACCTTGTTTGGTCATTAAGCTCAGCGATTGCCACTACACCTCGATCCGGGCCCCTGTTAACAAAATGGGCAACAGAGCCACTGTTCCCCTTCATTGGCAGTATGAAACCGCTGTTCCTGACAGTGACGAATTGAAGGGCTCTGCCCGCAAGGCTATTGCCCATTCTGGCTCTCCTAACT